CTCACACATCTCACGCGCACCTCACACATCTCACGCGCACCTCACACACCCCGCGCACCTCACACACATCCCGCGCCTCATACTACTCATGCGTCTCACGTATCTCCATCTGCATGCACTTTTTTTCTCAAAATTAATCTCAACATTTTGAGTACTTATAATGAATGAAAATAAATTTGAAGAAGTCAGTAAGCAAAGAGTGAGGTGATGTTGACAGAAGCGGCGGCGGCGGCGGCGGCGCTCGACGGACGGTACTTCGGCGGCCGCACCGTGCGCGCCGCCCTCTACGACCAGGACCTCTTCGACCACGGCGACCTCTCCGCCTAGCGAGCGCCCGCACGCGCCCCGCGCCCACGCGCCCCGCGCCCACATGCGCCCCGCGCCCACACGCCCCGCGCCCACATGCACCCCGCGCCCACGCGCCCCGCGCCCCGCGCGTCGTGTATTATAGTAATAGGTTGTCCGATGAGTTGGTGGTCCGCTGTGCGAGTGTTCAGTCAGCAGTTGTACAGAACTGTAATGATACTGATCTCTCTCCTCTCTCTCCTCTCTCTCCTCTCTCTCAGGAAACAGGAAGGAGTTGTGTTTGCATCGCATCGTGCCCGAGAGCGAGCACGAAGTTGTCGGACGACGCAATCAAATGTTATAATAAGTTGACGATGAGAATTAATTACTTTGTATAATTGTGATGAATAAAATACATTTTTGCTAATATTTTGTTTTTTATATCGACACGTTCAAAACCAAAACACGCTGCAACATGACTTCCGTCTCGTTCCGCGACTTAATAAATAAAATAATATAGTTCTCTCTTAAATTGTATGTAATGTAAGTAAAAGTGCTTAAACTAAAAATAAAAAACTGGTCAAGTGCGAGTCAGACTCGCGCCCCGAGGGTTCCGCACAAACCTGTAGGTATAAGTAAAAGTTCACATATCACTACAATCGAGTCATAGTTAAAGAGAGTAATAACTTTATAATTTAAAAAAATCATATTTGGTATAAAAATTTTAAGGTTTTTCAGAATTTTTACTTTATATGTACTATAAGATATTGCTTCAAGCCAAATCTCAAGATTTTAAGTCGATTAAAGTAGGTTTTGTTATCCTTGCGAGTGAGTAGTTGCGGGTTTGGAAATATGCGACTTAAATTGCTTTTCCTTTTGATTGCGTTGATATAGAAGTTTGATTTTGTTACAGGTTTAAGGTATTACAGACCTGAGGATTTGATATCAATTTCAACTTGATACCTCTAAGCGTTCATGAGAAAAGGGGTACTAAGCTTAAAATTTTTGAAAATGTTGTGTTTTATTATATAATGAAACTGAAAATTTGCTGTTTTCGGAATTTTTTGGAAGCATTGCTTCATGCCAAATTTCAAGATTTTAAGTTCACGGGAAGCGTCCTGTAGGTTTTCATTCCCTTGCAAATGTCGTAGATGTGCGACATAGACAACCATTTTGATTGCGTTGGCTTAGACGTACAATTTTTTCACAGCACCAAGCGGCACCAGACTTCAGTATTTGATATAAATTCCTGCTTAATACTTTTAGACATTTACTAATTACAATCCTTTGGTGCGAATGGCGCGCTTACATTGCCAAGTCAAGTGTCAGAATGATTAGTGAAGGGACACAGACATCGACATTTTAATAAGGCTAGTGTTGTGCCAGTACACCGGCATTGTGTCGGATTTTCTTCCTAACAATACCTACACGAGTTTTTGAGAAAAACGGTCTCGACAGACAGACGGACGGACAAACAAGTGATCCTATAAGGGTTCCGTTTTTTTCCTTTAAGGTACGGAACCCTAAAAAAGTGATATGACAGTCAATTTTTTTTATAGATTGATTTTAAGAGGTGATCTCTGACGGTCTGAGAACATTCCACCGCTCCATTATTACCCTCATCATACACTTGAGAGGAACAGCTTTAAGTTAATTTTTTTTAAATATGAAACTGTAAACTAAATAATTACAGCTATTTACTGAAACAAATACACCAGCGATAAAAAACGAATAATAGAAGAAAACTGTATTGCGCGATGTCGCAACTATTTATGTCACTGATGTATTTGACCTTAGTTTTCGCGCCATATAATTAAATTATATATTGAGACTGAGCACAACGAAGCTGCGAGAAGCCGCACTCTGGAGATGCAGAGATGACATCAGCTAGCGAGCGATGTCCTCCCGCTCCGTGAAGACGAGAGGCACGCCGCCGCGCACGCTCTGCACGATACTGGTCTTGGGGTCGACCTGCAGCGTGCGCCGCGTGCTCGGCCCCGGCGACACCGTGCAGCGCGCCAGCACCGCCGCCAGCCCCGCCACCGACTGCAGCTGCCCCAGCCGCTCCCCTGCACACCGGACGCCACACATTGTATACCTCAACATTTCACATACGGACCTAGACCGAAGTAAACCTCGGTAATTGATGAGGAGACGTACCGATGCAAGCCCGCGGGCCCGCGCCGAAGGGCAGGTAGAGTCCCCCGGCGCGGACCTCGTCGCGCTCCGGCAGGAAACGCTCCGGCAGAAAGCGCTCGGGCCTGGTGAAGTACTGCGGGTCGTTGTGCAGCGCCTGAAGGGGCACGATCACGTGGACCCCCGCGTCGATAGTTAGCTCCGTCTCCGGAACCCTGTACGGTCTCGAGCACCGCCTGATCAAGAATCCCAGCGGCGGAAACATTCTCATGCTCTCCTTGAGGACGCAGTCCAGGTGAGTCATTTCCTTGACAGCCTCATAGCTGAGCCGGCCGCCGTGCGCGGCAAGCACGCGGTCCACCTCGCGCTGCGCCCGGACCTGCTCCTCCGGGTGGTGTGCGAGCTGGTGCAGCGCGAAGCTGGTCGCCGAGGAGGAGGTCTCGAAGCCCGCTGCGAAAAAGACGAACACCTGTGCGGCCATCAGTTCCTCGTCCAACTCCAGCTGGACGGTTGCCGGCGTCCCGTCGGCGGCCGAGCACTCTATCGACTCGCCCACCATGGGCCCTTTGGCCCGGCATTCCAGCAGTAGATCTATGAAGTCGTTTCTCTTCGACGGTCGATAATTTCTCTGGCTCAGTATATCTCTCAGTAAGCCGAGGATACCCCGCTCCGCCGTTTCCTGAATTTTCGCGTATTTGAATATTTCAGGGAACATTAGCTTAAGAAGCGTTGTAATAAAAACTTTTTTGGACGGCGAGAAAATTTTGGCACCCAGCTGTCTAAACGCGGAGTTCTCGTCGTTGAGAGAATCCGAATCGAGTCCGAAGGCGCAGGCGCCTATAAAGTCTGTGGTGAAGCGCGCCATGAGCTCACGCGCGTCAAGCTCGCGGCCGGCGTGCGCTGCGGACAGCGCGCGCGCCTGCAGCCGCTCCGCGCGCTCCACTATTAGAGGGAACATGGCGCGCAGCTTGCCGCTGCTGAAGGCCGGCGTCATGCGCTGGCGCAGCAGCCGCCACATGTCGCCGTCCGCGAAGAACAAGTTCCGTAACATGGGCTCGATCACTTTGTCGTGCGCGTTCACTCCGCGCCTATAGAAGTGCATGAAGTCGGTCGTCAGAATGCGTTTGGCGATCTCTGGGTCGCGGATGACGAGCTCGGGGCGGAAGGCTCTGTAGAACCCGACGAGTCGCTCGCCCGGGTACTTCCAGTACGCCTCGACGGCGAGCTCCGTCATGCTCTTTTTCATGAAGAAGTTTCTGACATTATTGCCGAACAGCGGGATCGGGGGATCGTGGCGGACTCCCCGGCGCCGCCAGTAGCTGTGCGGGCCGGCGACCCACAGCCAGGCCAGCACCGCCGCCAGCGCCGCCAACAGTACGCCCAGCATCACCGCGGTCGGACTGTACACTAATTCGGTTAGGTTTTTTGACTTGTGAATTCTGTGGATACAAAAAGAAATTCATAACATCATTAAGTGTTTCATTTAACAGAATGTAATTTAAAACTTAACAACAATAACTATATCGCTAATTGAAGTATAAACATAATAAAGAATTTATAGAACGACAGGAAGGAAACGCTGCATTTAATTCTTTAAACAAAATGTTGCTAGGGTAGTATGATCGTATCGATGACCATGACTACGTCACTCACTACCTGAGTAGTTATTTTTTTGGATAGATGTCGAAGTCTAAAAATGTACATTTGGTATAATCGGTGTGGTGCGGCGCGGTGCGGGGCGGGGGACACACCTCCAAAGGAAAGCGGTTGTTTACACAACTCTACATATGCAGTGAAATCAATGAGCGTGTGTTACTGTTGTACGGAAAACTTACTCGAGCTGAAAAGTGTTTTTTTGCAATCGTAAAATTTAATCAAATTCGTAATGTTGTCGAAGTCTTCGAAGTTAATGGAATACAAATAAGTAAGTACATGTAAATGATATTTCTGTGTCAGTGCTCAATGAAGCAGCGTTGCTTATCACATGTTTACAACTCTGTCTCTGTCGCCCGAGGCATTAAAAAAAATAATTAGTATCATATGTATTCTTCCAGGCTATGTTCTAAATCTATTGGAAATTTTAGCGAGATCCATGCAGCCGTTCTGGATTTACACTTTCTACCAAACATCATTGATTTTAACAATGATATTAATAGCCTGATACTTTATTGACATACACTTTTGTGACAAAGCCGTTCACCAAATTAAAATTTTAGCCAGAGAACAAAATTTTCGTAAACAAAATTTTGTATCCTAGAAACGACGGTTGCGAAAATATGGTTGAATCTTACTCGTATTTCGATATCCGTGTATTCGAGCCCCTCGTTGATTTAAACCAATGGTTCTACAAAATCTGAAGTTCAGCAAACGAAACCCATGATTTAGATATGGATAAATTATGCCGTTCGAGTTATTTGAATTATTAAAATAAATAAATAAACTCTGAAGGCTCTAGCGCCTAAACTATGCAACTTTGGATAGAGGTAAGTTACGTTAAATAGTCATATTTTCCGATCCTGT